ACAAGACACACTAGCAAGCGACTTGCTGAGGCAAATGAAAGCAAGCACTCTCTTCCTCATAAAATTAACCACTTTTCCCTGCACAAAGAGTGCAAGACCTTTATACTGGGAACACAAGTGGCAATAGATTTCTGTATTTCAGAAACTGAGTAAACAGCAGAGCATGACTCAAGAAAACAGGCACTGTGTGACCAGTTCTCTCACTGCTGTTTCAAAAAGTCTCAACCTCGTCATGCACATTGTATGACCCATTATTATTTGTTGGTTTAAAAAGAAAGTGCCTATTTGAATCTTGCTTGGAAGAGGCTATAAGCTTTTTATAATCCCACACCACATGTGTGTCTCATTTCCTTCTCTCTCTCACCTCTATGCAGGTTGCAAATTTGAAAGAGGCGTACATATGCTGTGTAACAGTATTTCCACATTTCCTTACTTTTTTGTGGCATGTCCACTGACATGGGAATGTTTCTGGAACTCTCACACAGTTTTATACATATATACACACACAGAGCTTTATATTTATTTGAGTGAATGCAAATGTAGGATTTTACTAAAGTTTCTAACTGATCTTCTAACCGAGTGTCCTGTAAATGCACCAGAGTGCGATTCTCTGAAGAGCAGCTGATTTAAAACATCTTTTTCACAGAGCTACTCCTTAAAGCATTCATACTGTCCTGTTTGCTTAGGCTAGGGTCAATGTGGTCTTCATCACCACCTAGAAATAACCTTGTAGAGCACAACTGAGCCTATGGCCCTTTGGCAACAGGAGAAAGGGGAAGCAGGCATCGGCACCTGTGCCTGCAGCCGAGATACGAGTATGAAGTCCCTCACTGGCTGTGTCTCCCCTGTTTCTAGCCAGTTATATAGAGTCTTTTTTATTAATGTGTTATCTTGCATGAATTAATCAGTCTTGGCACAGAAGTAGCCTTGAACTTCTTGAACTTGAACTTGAGCACAGATGATATTAAACCAGACCACTTCCCTCATTCAGGTTGTGAGTTCAGCGTCTACGTGCAGTCCTATTAAAAGCACACTGACCTCTGCTTGAAATAACCTGTGTACAAGGTTATAAGACGGATATTTTTTCCCCTAATTGAAGCACTGCTGGAAGCTCTAGACATATGATTCCTACTGGCTTTGACCAGAGAGGGGTAAGCAAAACTCAACGCCTATTTGTGGAGCATAGCTGGCAAATGCTCCTCCAGGTCATTGTTTCCTGCTAACCTCAATTTTGTTTCTTCCTCAAAATATTTTGAGAATAGCAGAGACTTTTCAATATGCCTTTATTCTAATTGTATATTTGATTTAAAGGAAAACTCACCAAACACCCCCAGCTGTCTCTTCTACCTTCAATTCCAGTTTTTCTGAAAATGATCTTTCTGGAAATTAAATGCTGTATCACAGTGATTCATCACGTCTCCTGACAAACGACCCCACCCAGCATTCACCAATCCATCAGCTTCTCTTGTTTGTCGCTGTGCTACCAGTCCTCGGTCAGGCAAAATGTCTATCGCAACACAAGGTTTGTAAGTACCATATTAAATATTCTGCAATTTGAATCTGCTGCGTTCTCCGATAGGCAGGCCCTTCACAAAGCACAACTCTATCAAGTAAAGGAGCACAATGAAGCATAACAAAAACTCTCAGCAGGCAAACCGTTACTCTAAATGAGATGCCTGTTTTTAGTCACATGGAATACTAGAGATTTCCTTAGGAGAAAGAATTTCTGAAAGGTTAGACATTAAGAACCTTTTATGAACTTGGAAGTGAAGCAGAGAAAAATCCTTATCCTCCTTGAGATTCATTGGTCAACAGATGAGAGGAGTAAGCTTCAAGCTGGCACCCCATCCATGTCAATTCCTATGACTTCTGGCTGCAGACACATTGGAGGCTTGCTCATGCTTTAAGTACCATCAGATTTCAGTGGGGTGTCTACTAACATAAGTTAAATGTGTCCTGTTGCCTAGTGTGGTCACCTGCTACAATCCACGACTGCAAGAGATCGTGTTCCCACTGCAATGAGCAAAAACTTTCTCACTGACTTCCATTAGGCCCTAATTTGGCTCTTAAATCTTTCGTTGTCCTATTAAAAAGACTTTTTAAAAAACGTATACTACTCTAAGGTCAACAAGTCATGCGCAGAGAGTTTCAGGCAATGAAGGAAACTCAGTATTTGAACTAGAGAAGAGAAAGCTACAAGAGATGCAGTAGGATTGGAAAGAAACTGCCACAGAGGTCAGGAAAAGTGGCTGGAAGCAGCTGATACAGTGAAAGAGAATGGACAGGGATCTATCTGAGCCTCATCTAAATTACAACAGTGACAAAACATCCCTCAGAAAGTCTTACTTAAGTCTGCATATAAATTCAGACCAAATTAAAAAGTGGTTCTTTCTTAATCTGTATTCCCTTGAGACAGCTACTTAAGCTGTAGCAA